ACCCTTGCTTAGAATCTCAAGAGTTTTGACATTTTAATAATTTAGAATAATGAAAACACGACAACAAGTTCATTATGAGACAGTTAAAGGAGAAAGTTCTTCCAGATAATTGGAGACATCTATCCAGAACTGAGTTTTGAGGGGAACCGTCTGTGGTAGAGTTAATTGGACAGTACCAGGATGAGTGCAGAAAGCTATACTGGCAGTCTATAGAACTTTGTAAACATATACCATAAAACCTCTTCTAAGCAGATTTTAAACAAACACACCTATTAGAGATACCATTTTCTGTTTGGCTACATGAAGAAGCTGCTTCAGGATGAGATAAGCTGTGAAATTGAAGCGCAGTAGTCATTCGGTACTAACTCCTCAAATGAATGTTTTCATTCTATACCAAGACAGCACTTTGTGGTTTAGCTTATCCACTTCTAAAGAGAACTATAATGATTCCCTTAGAGCAGACCAAGCACATAACTAGTAGAGAACAGATTATTTGCAAAAGCTAATGCAGCTATTTCCAGAATAGTCAAGCCCTTACATTTGATGTCATGGTTTAAAAATTCTACAGTGGGAGAAAAAATGCCTACTCTATTCTTATGGATTTTTTCCATAGGAACTATCTAGGAAAAAAACTGAATGAGTACCAGAAAAGGAGCACGCAATCCCAGGGATGATTGTTACTATGGTTTCCTTATTAAGAATTACTCACTTCAAGTTAGCCTGTAGTTATTCTTGAGTTAAATATTACCCAAGTTGGTAAGCATAGTGCCACATGTCCTCTGAGGCAGCTGTAGGACTGTTTCTACTTCCAGTAAAATCAATGTAAAACCCACATTTCTGCAAAGAATTAATCCAAATTCTTTCACTCCCTTATGGATGTGTGCCCACACTGCATGCTGTATGTACATGTAAAATGTTTCTCCAGTGACCACTTGACAGTAAGCCAGGGTTTACAAGCAGAAAACTCCTACCCTCCTATAAAGAGAATAACAGTAGTCTTTGTAACAGTAAATAAACCCACCACTTCTCCTGCTTATCAGATATGCTTCCTTCCTGTGACAGGAATTATATCACTGCACTGATGGGAAGAAGAGAAAAGGGATTTTTTTTTTTTAAATGGTTGTTTTATCTATCACTTTCACTGAGGCAGAAATTCTAGACTGATTCACAGATGGAAACCCCAAATGCCATGCAGCAAAGCGTTCATCTATGGACAGGAAACAGTATGGGTTTTATAGGCTAGAGTAAAGGTTATGTCACTTTTAAGTACATTTTAAAAGCCTGCACAGGCACCTTTCTTAATATTCAACTGACAAAACTAGCCACACATAAAAGCCCTTAATCATATACAGGGTGTACCAATGAAGTTCAATTTCTATATGCTCCTACAGATTAGCCTTGTTCCTCTAGTAACAATAACGTTAAGCGATGTTGTGACCAAGCTACATAGGAACAGAAGGAAACAGGAAGAAGGAAAAAAAGTGGCATTTGAAGTAAAATGGTGAGAGAATACAAAGGCTACTGCAAATACCAAATGCAGATGAGATCAGGAGGTATTACAGAAGGAGCAGTAGACGACAGTAAAAGGTACCAGGGAAAAGAACAGAAAGTCTGTAGAATAGGCTGTTTTAAATGTGTTTTTTAAAAGGTGTATTTTTAGCAAGACTCTGAGTACATGAGTACATGAAGAAGCTTATAAATGTTCATAGACATGAATGTAAAACATCGGTGGGAAGGAGCAAGACTTTCTAATCAGCTCTCTTGAGGTATAATAGTTGATCTCCATTATACTCACACTAGCAGTTTTGGGAAGCTTGACTTTGTCTTTCTGTTGATTTTTTTTACCTTTGGAGGCTGAAATTATCTTTTCAAAATATGTTCAGGTTAAATCTGACCCAGCAACAACTGAAAGAAATGAACAGACAAATAGCTGAATTGGACCCAGTTTGCTCCCAGAATGAATACTTTTATCTGTGGGTAAGTTTTCACTGAGCATTTTGCTTCTTCATTAAAGTCACAGAAAATACAAAAAGGAAATCCACACTAACCAAATCTAGAAAAACTGTAACCTTCATTGTGAACCTAAGAGGCAAAATCCAGCTTTCTTGGCAACCCTCATCTGCATTACACACCCACAAACAAGACTGCAATTCACAGTACTCTTCACATGAACCACCATCTGAACATAGAAAAAATCTTTCCTATATACCTGCATCTGAAAATCATGTGAATGTAATATAGACCACATTCGTAGGGAACAAGTCAAACTTACTGGAAGCTTTCTGAAGCTAGAATACATCAAGAGGTATTTTAGCCATATATAGGTATGAAATTTTTTTTTTGTGATGGTGTAATACCCTGCTGCAAAAGGAGAGGTTTGGATTTGAAAAAGAACTTTCTGTTGCTTCCTTAACAAATAGGCCTTTTCCTTTCTGTTCTCCTTTCTGGTTCCCTATTCATGTAACAATTATCCCAGGCTCCAGAACATACTTTTGGTTTTGAAACTCTCTAAATCAATATCCTTATGAACAGCTCCTGCAAAGAGTGTAATCAGCCTGCATGCATATAATTTCCTTACGGATACATAAGCCTGTTCTTTAACAGTTCATTGTCCCTTTTGACCCATGATTTAGCCATGACATTAATTCTATAAATGTATCAGAATGTTGGGTTTATTTGGCTTGGGACACTCATTTTGCTCACTTCTTTTGCTTGGTGTTCCCAACTGCCTTTGAACATTAGTCACACAATATACTGTTTGTGAGAGATACCTCGGTTAATCTATTAACCAGAACAATGATGCATAAGGCCCTTTGGAAATAGTGCTGGGAGAATAAGTGATGCAATATATGAAGGAGGAAGAAGCAGCCCAGGCCCGGGGGGGTTCAAAGCCCACTGTTACTAATGGACACGATGCACAGGCTGGAGCTACACCCTGCGGTTGTGGGAAGGAACGGGTGGCAGTGAGGACCCCTGCAGGGCTCCCAGCCCTTCCCAGGAATAGCAGATAACCTTGGACTTAGGTTGCTGTTGCCAGCACACAACGTTGCTGTGAATTCAGCTGTCTTCCCCTGTATACTCTGCGTAGACTTTATACGTTATAATTTATACTTTATAATAAACCAATAAACTCCAATGCAGAAACAGTGGACTAAAGCTTGCATTGCAGAACAAGAATGGTGCTTACTGATGAAGAGTGTACAATAGAACTTGAACTACTAAATGATAAACTGGAGCCATCTAGACAAATGTTTAGAAGAATAAATGTATAAGGAGGAGGATTTTACACAGGGAACTAGATCTCTACTTCTAGAAGAAAGCATCTGTAGGACAAAAATCTTTAGAAGAATTCTGCTGGGATGGATTGTCTTGGACAAGGTGGGCTGAGTTTTCCTCCCATTTTCGAGGGTCTGCAGGGCTCCATAGGAGAGGCTATGCTTTTGCACCAGCCCTGAATTCAACTAGCTACTTTGCATTCCCAGCCTCAGCTCAGTTGCACATACCTAGTTAAGAGATGTGAGACACCCTCTCTCTCTCCCCCTCCATCCTAAGCTATAATGAATTTTCCCAGAGTGAATGTTGTTCATTTCCACTATGCTCCTCTTTCTCCATTACACCTCTACTCTGCCCAGATTACACAGTGGCATCCAGGGCCTGAAGGAATGCGGGTGGGTGGATGAAGATGCTTAAGATAGCTTCCTTTCTTAAGGGTGACACACAGAATCATACCAAGGACATTATCCAAAATGCATATTTTGAAGTGTCCCGAAACTTTCATTTTCCTTGGCAGGGACTGCACCAGATTTTCTTTGTGGGATGACTCAGTTCTTACAGGACCATAAGAAACTTTGAAGACTGTATTTAGGCTGTAGACAGCTTCTGCAAATGCTGAAAATTCTCTTGGGGACAACCTAATGAAAACTTTTAAAGAAGCCAACACTCATGCCTGTTATCTTGAGTTTCTAGCCTAAGACAATGGCATGAGAGGGCCCTTTAGAAGGCAGAGTTGACTACATGGTTTCCCTAGTTCTATCTTGGCAGTGATCAGCAATGCATCATTCTACTAGAGAAGCTAAAAAAGAAAAAAAATCTTTCAGACATTTCATATTCTGCTGATAAATACTACGATCCTGGTGAGGGGACAAATTAATCCCATGAGTTGAACTGAAAAAAATCCAAATGCTGAAGTGAGAGAGTTGGCAAAGGGGTGGAGCTTTTTATTATCCAAAGGTGCTCTTTTACTGGGAAATACTGCAAGAAAAACACTCTCTGCTGGATCCCAGGCTACAGCATTCACATTTCCAGAGCTAAGAATCCATTTCCACTGCTAAGAATCTTCAGAGAAAGTAAACACATTTTTCTGTATATTTCTCACTAACATTGTCATAATTCTTCTTTTTTGTAAAAAAAAAAAAGCTGAAGAAAACATAATGTTTTTCTTGCAAGCAGTTATCAAACATCTTCAGTGTGGACGTAAGAGAAAATGCTTAGCTAAACTCAATTTGTTCTATCCACGGACATCATTTACCAGAAGCAATATGCGAGACGAAGGATAAAGATATTTGTTATTTTCCAGTGGGTGTGTTAAAACAGTAAATTTTAAAATCTTCTTTTAAAACAATGTGTAGAACCAGCAAACTCTGTTTTGCTTTTCTTTCACACAGAGCAGACAATCATCATTAGAAATTGGCCAAGCCATATTTCAGGATATAAAACACTCCAAGAACTAATGTCAGCAGGGCTGATGATTGGGGATATTAAAGAAATAAAGACTGGGAATACTCATTTGTTACATACACTTCAAAAAAGGAACCAATGAAGAGGCTATAAGCAAATAATAAAACAACTGATGGGAAGATTAGCATTGGACTTTGAATCTGATCAGTAAAGAAAAAGTAGAGATGTTATAAAGACATTGATTATTGAAAAAGGTGGAGAACATCATAAAGATGGGACATCGCTTTTATTAACCAAACCTGTTTAGAGGAAAAAAAAACCAGCAGCCAGAACATGATATACATGGATGACAAGTGACAAAGGGTTACTGGCAGTGGACGTGTGGGAGAAAGGCATCCTAGCCCAAGGTCGGTACTTTTCCCTGTCTACATTCCATCGCGCGATGGTGGGCTGCACCGCACTTTGACATTTCTGAATGCAAAACCATGGCTCGAAGATTCTACCAAATAAGAAGTCGCAGTTTGAATTGTGTTTTTTCCCATACTGGTGTTTTCCTGAGATTCAGAAGACTATAACAGTTCAATGTGGAGAAGAGCTGGTCAAGTCTAGCCTCTTCGATGGAAGACCTGCACCATTAAGTAGGCAGTTCTTCAAGTCTCCCGTTAATGGCACTTTCACACATCACATTTAAAGGCGATCAAGGAGAGCTCTCATCTTGGCAGGCAGCTGGCGAGCGCATCGGGCCTTGGTATGGTCACAAAGTTCATGGTACAGTGCAATAGTGGACAGATCTTTTCATGATCCTTCAACACTTCACTCAAGTGTTTCATTTCATCTGTTAGCTTTCCGATTTCTCTTTTCAGGGAGGTATTTTCTTGCTCAAGAGACTCATATTCCTGGAAGGAGAAGAAAAAAAGAAAAGCCTACTCATAGTCAAAACATTCCTTTCAGTGCTTCCACCTTGAGTATATTCATGTAACTGTAGAAAAACTGCATGGTTTCTTACTACAATGTGCAAAATGCTAGGGAAAG